TCAAGTCTCTCTACAAGTATTTCCCCTTCTGAGAAGCCTTCTCTAATCACCCTGTCTACAATCCTACTCCCATTTCTCTTGATCTCTTCAACCTGTTTTGTCTTCATAGCACCTATCACTACCTGACCCTTTCCCTTGACTACACACACACACATGCCGTACACATATATGCAAACACACACACACATGCTGTACACATATAGGCAAACATGCACACATACACATACATGCACCAAAGAACATGCACGTGCATATTGTTGATTCATCTCCCTCACTAAAACATGACGTCCGTGAGCACAGGGACTTTGCTCTTTCACAGCTGTATTCTCAGCACCTAGAAAATGCCTGGCACATAGTACATATTCAATAAATAATTGTTGAATAAATGAGCGATCCTCACAACAACCGCTTATTTTAAAGATGAGGAAATCCAGGAGCAGAAAGGTTAGGAGGGTCACACAAAGTTACCTAATTAGGAAGTAGAAGGGGCTCAATTGGAAGCCCGACAAGCCATGTTACACTTTGTTTTGTCCCTTCAGCCCCAACTAGTGCTATCTCTGGTCCCCAGAGGGGTGAACGGCATCACAGACAATACATTCATAGCCTGTCAGAGATGTCCATGCCTCCTGCTCTGCTCAGAACTAATGGAAAATTCACAAACCATGAATATGTTGCAGTGAAACATACTCTGACCCAAGATGGACACAGAGGGAAGAGACCTGAATTCCCAACTCTCCCATGAGGTTTTAGACCCTGGTCAAGTCCATCAGCTTCATGGAGTCACCATTGCTTCCCACACTTCATATGCACAGAGGTGGTTCTGAGGTTCTCTCCATTCTGAAACCCCGAACTAACCCACTTTTAAAAACGGCCTTCATCCACTAACACACTCACTTCTTGAGTTGAGTGAGACTGGGCGTGTCGCCTTACAGCAAATTCTACTCAGGATTTGTCTCTAGGAGGAGGTGACCCATTTCTAATTCACAACTCAAAGGCACCTTGAGGCTATCTGAGCAACACTCAGTGTTTAAACGAATAAAGCTGGGCTGGGAACACATGCTCCGTTCCCCTTGCCTCGAACATGAGGAGTTTTTAAAAATAGGCTGAAATCACCAATTAGTGGGAACAATGAAGTGCTCTGAAGTTGAAAAAGGCTTCATATGATGCTAATAATATTTTGGCAATGGTGGTTCTGAACATGGATCACAGCTATTCTTTTCAGAAAAAGTAATAGCTCTTTTGAGGAAAAATTATATTCTCGGAATTAGAAGGCTTTTATAAAATAAATCCTGATTAAAGAAGTTAAATTTCAACTTAATCATGCATTCCACGCCTACTACGTGCAAGGCATAGGGCTTGGCACCAACAGGGGATGGAGAAATAAAGAGTAATATAATAGTCCCTGCCCTCAGGCCAGCCACAATCTGACGTGGAGGCAAAAAACACAATGTGTGCTACAGAGAGAAGCCCAGGGAGAGAGGGCTGAGAGGGGAGAGGCAAGAGCACCAAGCCCCTACTATATATCTGTATGCCTCATATAGAATTCATCTCATTCTGTTCATTCTTTCATTCATTCAGGAAATCTTTCTTCAGCCAGGCACTGGGATACATGTCCACAGAACAGACCAGGAACTTGCGTTCTCTTTTAATACTCATAACCAGCAGTGGTGAAGGTTGCCGTAATCTCCTTGCAGAGTCAAAGAAGCAGGCCCAGAGACGTTGCATAACTTGCCCAAGGAGCACAGCTAGAAAATGGTTAAGCATGGAAGCAGGATTTAGACTGTGGGCTCCAGAGGCTGTTGTCAAGTGGGGTGGGTACGGGTCTAGATTCCAGGGCAGATGGTGCCAGTTCTCCTGCCTCTGGCACTGGGAGCTCATATAAACTCAGGCAACAAGCAGGGTCTCTAGGAAGCTCATTCTGAACCAGACAGTCTGATACTGCAGCCAGATGAGAAACAAACAGGGAAAACAGCCCACATTTCAAGTCTAATTGTGTGGGATTTATGATTGTAACGTAGGCATTCTGAATCCAGAGCCTGTGCTCTTGAACAGTAGGCTATAATATTAAAAAAAAACATGAGACCTTCCTGATTCTGCTCCTCACATTAATTTTGCCACTAAACTTGTCTTTAGAGCAGTCTGTATTTGCTATTCATTCATCTGCACATCCTGCTCATCTTGTTCATCTCGTCACTGCCAACCAGTGTTAACTGGGGGAGTTCACAGCTTCTCGGCCACATGAAAACCAAGTGGCTTTGACTATTTCCAAATGTGGTGTTGCCCTTCAGACTGTTTGGTAACTTCTAGCCACCTCCCTTGCTTCTGTCCCTGTATGTAGTCTCATAGAGAGACCTCAAAGCTTCTGACGTAGCCCATCACACCAACGTGAACAGTGGCTACCAATGGCTTCCACAAACCCTGTTGCCAAAAGTCAACAACCTCCTCTTAGATTCTCTGCAGTATTTAATGCTGTTGACAATCCCCTTCTTTTTGAAAGTATTGCAAGAAAGTTTCAAGAAAAATATCAATCACACTTGACAAAAAAGTCCCCCCAAAATAGAAATTTTATTGACCATCACCAATCTATAATTCATCCTATATTGCACACACACATATATGACATTTATCAATGTTTTACTATTTAAAAAATCACGTCCCGCTTCCAAGAAATTGTAATAAAAATCAAAATGAAAACTAAAGCAGAGAGTTTATTACTCAATCAACTCAACACCCAATCCACCATATTCATACATCTCTAGATTACCCATGACTCAAAAAATTCTATTTGTACTGGCATTTGATATAGAAATTAAAGCAAAATATCAAAATATTAGTAAATTTGGAGCTGAAACTTCTTTGCTGAAAATAATATTTTCACTTACCGAGAAATCTTCTCCACTCAAGAGAAATGAGCATTTCATCAAGACAACAAGCTCTCGATGAAGAGACTTTGTGGGGAGTTTTTGTTCTCTGGTCTGTTGTCAAGAACCTGGTTTGAATCCATTCATTCATCAAACAAGGTAATTTCTCATGATCAAACTTGCAACAATCAGAGCACAGCAGGATAAATTTTCAAAAGGAAAACAGACTTCTCACTGTTTGAGAGTTCTCATGCATATATCTGGAGCTTCAGAGGTCAATTAACTGATATCAATTAACCTGTAAATAGTTCTTCCACAAGGGAAATGTAGTTTTCCTATGGAAAAATAAGTTTTTCAAGGACATTAAGAACTAAATTAAGTAGAAAACTCCTCATTTCGAGCAACGAGTCTCCTTTGTTGAACAAAATTGCCTAATATTTCTTAAGAAGAGACCTGTTTGATATGAGAAAGCCAAGAGAATGACACGGTCGTGAGTCATAACCTCTGTACCAGGAAAGTGCTCAGCACACTGTGTGGCTGCAGACACAGAAGGAAAGCATAATAATCAAGAACATGGGCTTTGGAGGCAGGCAGAAGACCTGGGTTCAAATCCCAGCTCTGACAGTTATTGGCACGGCACCTGGCATGGCAGAGCCCATGAGGATGTTCACCACACTGTCTCCACTTCCTAGTCAGAGCCTCTTGGGACTAAGTGACCAGATTCTGGCAAATGGATATGATGAGCTCAGTTTTGGGATGACCGAGCTCAAGGTGGTTGAGGACGTCTAAATGGAGACGCCAAGTAGGCAGTCAGATAAATGGGTTTGGAGGGGAGTCTGACTTGTACATACAAATTTAGGAGACACACTACAAAATTGTTAAAATGAATGCGGTGGCTCCATATGTACTGACATGGAAGGATGTCTGTGATCTACTGGTAAATATACTGAAAAAAGCAAGTTATTGAGCAATATGTATACTGTAATCACTTTTTTAAAACATGTAGAAAAACAATCATCTGATCTGCAAGAGAAATACACACACTCGCACATATACATACACACACACACACAGGTCTGGAAAAAATATACCAAACTATTACCCCACTCCAATGATTTGATAAAGTGTGGGTTGGGATAGGTGAGTGAAGAACTTTTATTTTTGCGTTGATAAACTCCTGCATTGTTGGGTCTTATTTCTGACAATGAGCACTTAATCACCCCAAATCCTTCTTCACTCCATCCCTCTCTCCTTCCCCAACTCCTTCCTCATCCTGAATCCCCACCCAGTGGCAGACGCTGGCAACGGATGAAATGGATGAAATGGAAAAGGAAACATGACATCAGTTTTGCACACTGTTTAATAATAAAAAAGGAGTAATTTAGCGTTTGCTTTAAGCTGCATCACAACAGCAGTATCAAAATGTTCACTGGTAAAATGCCATTCCAGCTCCTGGAGGGTTTACAGTCAAGTTGGCTGAGCAGTAAGTCAATTAAGATAATTGCCAGAGAATAGAAGTCTGTGGGCACATTGTCCACTGCACTCTCTTAAGAGTCACTTGTGCTCTGAGGATTTGAAAGTCTCATGTAATATCCACGAATCCCCCACACCAAGCAAGGAACATTAAAGACTTGCTCTTTGTTAAGGGCAGCGTGGAGAACAGTGTACCAAGAACTTGGGCTAATGAACAGACATGAACACAAGGAAATTAACATAAATGAGAAGAATAGGTGGCCTTCCAGAACAACCTGCATAGTTTATCCTAGATTTTTCTTAAGTTACTTAGCATAATCACCCAGCACAGCGCCAGCCCACACTCAGCACATGTTTGCAAAATTGTTTTTGAAACATCCAGGCCTCTATTTGACCAAGAATACCATTATCCCAGAACGAAAATGGTGGAATGCTAAGATGGACGCACCCTAATGCCAGAAGGGACACAATGTTCATCCCCATGTGAACTTCCTTCTTCCATTCCCCAATTAGATAAAGCACAGATTGAGGGAATCAAATGAGATCTTGAAGTTGCCTTGTCCAACAGCTGGACAAAGTATTATTTAACCATCATTAATTAATAATATTATTATTAATATATTCTACAGAGAGATATATAATAACGATTAACTATGGAAACCATACCATCAAGGCAGACACAGGTGAAATTGCTCCCATCTTGCTTTTCATTTGCATCGACACAGCTGGCGTTGTTCTGGCAAGGTTTCCTCTGGCAGGCGTCAAATTCTTCACAGAAAGTACCCATGTACTGATCATCACAGTTACAGGAAAAAGTTGCCTAAAACACAAATATACAGTCTATGTTACTTGAGTCCTCCAAAATGTATGCTTTGGCTGTGAAAGTCAAAGTTCAAAAGCACGACTTCTTTTTATAATTATACCAACACTGAGTATTTTAATCATGTCACATATCATGATCTGATTAAAATTATAGCTTTAAGAGAAATAGTATATATTTCTTTACAGTTTAGTTTCAAACATTTATTTTTATTGTTTTTATTTACTGATATTTAGCCCAACCTTTTTCAGTCTTATTAAAATAGAAATGGAAAGAATAACTGTATACTGTATTTTAAGCAAAAAATGAAGTTTTGCTGACCTAACATGGAAATGGCAGTTTTGCTAAAGCAGATATATTGTGCTACAGCCATTAAATTAGCTGTCACTCCAACCAACCAAAATCCTTCAGCACAGACAGCACTTGCAACAAAAACATCATCAAATGTCCTCCTCGGACCACCCTCCCGGAGCACTGAGCGAATTTACTGAATCACCCTGTGAATGAGCCTCATTGTACAGCCATGCCAATGATCTGAGTGCAAGGGAAAATGAAGAGTATAATTCAAGTAACCTTTTTGTTTGGTTTATGAGATTAACATTATTTTAGTAAAAGCCCATAACTCAGACCCAGAGGACTGCATTTGATTCATTTCTGAGATGGCTATAAAATCCAAATAAAACTGAGCCTGCCTGTTCTCTTCTTAACGCCAGCCTGAGGGTGGTGATATGTCTAAAAGAAACGCTAATCGGGCTCCAAAGCCTGTGAGAAGCAATGTACATCATTAGCGAAGATTTTCATGAAGAGGGGAGGGGAGAAGGCAAAGGACGATGGCGTGAGCAAACCTTACTTCTTACAAAGTCAAAACTAAACTTTCAAAAGCACCTTTCCCAGCTCTGCCCAAGCGCCACACATCAGGCAAGTGTTCAAATCTCTACCTCTCCGAAGCCCCGCCAACAGCCTCTCAAGTCTGCCGGCCCTGGCTCCCTCTCTGGGCCCCAGCCTCCTGCCCCTACTAACCTTACAGGGAGACTCGCCCCTGTTCTCCAGGTGTTGTTAACTCAGGATCCCCACCCAGTATCCTCCCCCAAAGCAAAACACAGCACCTTCCTTCCTCCCGAAATAGGAAAGCGTTGTCCATGCTTCTCTTTAATTTCTTTTTCGTCTCTTAATGTTTAATAGCTCTTGTCAATTTCTTGATAAAATACTACTGCGTATTTAGAATTCTTGGTAGCTATTGTCAATAGATATTTTCCTCGTCCCTTTCTTGTAATACCCATCATACTTGCTATCGATTATTACGGCTATATAAAATGCTAGAGTTAAGTTACCAGTCATTACACGGAGCTCTCGCTACACGTCAGAGTCTTTAGTTGATTCTCTGGGGTTTTCTAGATAAAACAAAACCTCGAAAAAGCACATATCAATTGCAAATAATGGAAATGTCGCCTTCCCTTCTCCAGTCCTCATGGTTACAATGGTGGTTCTTCGAGAATAATTTTGATTTCAAAAGGAGATTCGCAGAATTTATCACTATGTAGAATGCTGGAATGATGATTGAATTTTATCAAATGCCGTTTTAGCTTCTATAAAAAAATCATCTCTGCTTTTTTATCTTTGACATATCAATATGTGAACTGAATGTTTAAATTTCCTAGTACTGACTCAGCCTTGCATTCCTGGAAGGAACACTCACAGAACTCATTATGCAAATTGTTTCATGGCTGCATTCTATTTGTAGCTAAACTTCTAGTGCCTTCCATCTAACTTGCCCCACTCCTAGCAGACTCCTTTTCTAAGAAAAACTGTCCCTCAAACAGTGAGATAATAGTTTACACTGTAACTGGATGCCCCTTGCCACAAGTGACTAAACCAGGAGTGGATGGACCTCTGGCCTCAGCAACTAAGCAAGAAGCCAGACAGCCAAACATGAATTTAGCTCTACCAAATCTCCAGATTTTATGTAGGTGTGTTTCTTTTGTTAATTGAATATGTTTTTGTTAAAGGAATATGACAAATCCTTGTAATCTGCATAATCAAGTCTTTAGTTTAAGAATATGTTCTTCAATTATATCTTAGAAACCAGAACAATTGGAATAAAAGCAATGGCTTTTCCTTCTTACGTTAGAGCTAAATTTTCTGCCTTCTGTTTCTATCATCTCTCACACCTCCTTGTGGCAAATGGAAATTCCCTCTGCATTCTAATAATAGTTAGACTTCCTATCTGGTTTTTCATGATGTTGTGAGTTTTTCCTTTTGTGTGTGTTTGCATAGACTTTGTAGTTGAAAGCTGGGAGAAGCTGCATCAAGGACTGTTTAAAGGCAGCCTTTTAAGTAGGAAATTCCTTTTCTAGAACTGTCTTCTAAGGAAAATCTTGGCCTTGCTCAAATGTACAACAGGGTACACCTTTGATATTTGCAGGGGATGTGTCTGGAGCCCTTTGTGTATCTGCAGATTTGTGACTGCCTTTGAAATGTAAATGCTGTGCATGCCCAGCGCATACAATTCCCAAGTGGGCCTCAGCATCCTAATAAATTACTAGGAGTCATTATTTTTGGCAGCTGTCCTCTAAAATTTACTTGGTTTGTATCCAGACGTTCCATATTGCAGATAAATTTCTTTGGTTATTTGGGGACTACATTTTGCATATAATTCATCTGGTGAGTTCCACGGAAAATATGCTGTTTGTGAAAATAAATTATTAAAGTCCCAAATCAAATATCTTCAAGTTAGCTTGGATTGAATTTAAAGCTGAAACAGAAGCCACACATTTTGTTTGGCTTTGTTTTAAAGAGCAACCTTGAAAGAAACCGTTGAAACAATTGCTTTTGACCAAGCAAAACACTGCACTGATTCTTAAACTTAGATTGACGCATGAGGATGAAGATTAACAAATGTTTACATATCCATGACCATAAAATTTTAGTTAAATCTTTGTGTATTCTGTATCATGTAGCCCATAAAGTTAGATTTCTTCCTGAATCTATTTTCTAAGAACGAAGAGCTTTCCTACAATATTAAAAGGTTTGTTTTAATAGTTTCAAGACTGTTGACTTGTAAGAGGCCATGAATATTTATTAGGAAACTATGTTTTTAACATATTTGTTGTAGAAAACTATGTTTGATCACCGAAAAGCTGTAAACTGTTATACCAACCTTAAGAAGTTTATTTAACACACTATGAGATCACTAATCTAGGATGAATTGACTTAACTAGCATAAGTGACAAAACGGACTGACTTAAAGTTAGTAGCTTAGCTAAATTACAGAAAGATATATCCTTGCAAAACTATTGTATATTTGTATGTAAAAGTCTTTTTCAAGTAAAATGACAAGTGACCCTCAGAGATTAATTTTAAAACCCAATGTGGAATCTCAATTTTCCTCAACAGCTTGAAGTCAAATATTCCATTTGTACATTAATGAAACTTTCTCAGATAGCGGTAGGAAAAAAAATTTCAGTCAGACTGAATTCATTTATTCACCCACACAACAACTATTTATTGAGCACCGACTATGTGCCAGGCACTGTTCTAGGAGGGGGGCACAACAGTGAACAAGACTCTCTCATGGGGATTGTATTCCAGTGGGGGTGGCTGACGATAAACAAATGAACCAGTAACTAATGTAGTAGGTGATAAATGTTATGGGGAAGAATAAAGTAGAGAAGAGGAAGAGAAGGATCCCATAAGAAACATCCCTATTAAACCTACTATTGCATTTACCATGAGGAAGTTGGTGAGAACATTATATGCCATACATCATTTTCTGCCTCATTTATAAAGTCCTACCCAAGAAATACACTCAGTTAAGTGCTAGTAAAAGTTTTGCTAGTCATGAGCAGTGACGTTTTATCCTCAGGAACAATGCAGATCATGAGACTGCCCATTTTTTTCTGCTTTGTGATTTGGCTGTGGTGTGCTCAGAGCCTACTGGAAGTTCAACTTTTTGTGTGTGTGTGTGTGAGAAAGATTAGCCCTGAGCTAACATCCGATGCCAATCCTCCTCTTTTTGCTGAGGAAGATTGGCCCTGGGCTAACATCTGTGCCCATCTTCCTCTACTTTATACAGGACGCTGCCACAGTGTGGCTTGGTAAGCAGTGCGTTGGTCTGCGCCCGGGATCTGAACCAGCAAACCTCAGGCCACCAAAGTGGAGTGCGCGCACTTAACTGCTACACCACCGGGCCAGCCCGCTGGAAGTTCAATTCTAACATCTAGGGCTCTGTGACCTATACAACTATTTCCTTTTTCTAACTTGGATATTGCTTTCTAATTTATGTCTTCTCTGACTCTGCCTTATTTTTGGGTACTATTATATTTCAAATACTTTATGAAATATGGAGCCAAATGTATGAATAACTAAGTCTAAATTCTCTAGCAGGGCACATAAGACCCTCGACAACCTGTCCCATGTTACTTTTTCTGTCTCATTTTCTCAATTTTCACCTCTTAGGAAAGCCTAAGTGTCATGTACAAATCACCCCAGAGAGAGAGATGCTTTCTGAGAAGTTCTATTTCTCTCTTTCAGAGTCAGAATTTATCCATTTTATTTTACTTTCTCCCTTAAACAAAGCATACGGAAAATACATTTGTCTCTTTTTGGTGTCCCAGTGACATCAGTATGAACATAAAAACCCCAGCTGACTAGACACTGAATCTCATTGTTTATAGCGCTTGCTTACCTTGAATTATCTCATTAATCTTCACCACATCTGTCAGGTGGATGATATCAGATCCATTTTAGGAATTGAGAACAGACTCGACAGAGAGGTCAGAAAAATTATTTAAGGTGTCCCAGATGGCAAGTACAAGGTCAAAGCTTAAACCCCTATCATCCGATTCCAAATCTTTTCCGCTCACAGCTGCATATTGTCCTATCATCGCCGGGGTGTTCTACACATACCGTAGACACATGTGGGGGCGCCCTTTACCCTTACTCTAAAATAACCCCCAACAACTGTGGTATTTTAGTTCTAGCTCTAGATTTCTGTAGTTTTT